GAGAGGGTGATAAAAGGGAAAAAGGAAAGATAAAATTTTGGAGCGGGAGTGAGAGAAGTTTGGCTTTATACAGTTTTCTTTGATAGTATATTTTCTTCAGAAACTGTAAATTGGTTATTTAACAAAAAATATTGGGAGATCAGAGTAGTGTAATCAACTCTTCCAACCCACATTGCCCAAATTTCGTGTATGATTTGTTTTAATTCAAGTCATCTTAAGTATGTGGGTTTTGTTTTGTTCATGTGTCTTGCTGGCCACCAGGTGGCATCAGTGGTTCAGGAAACCTCCTTTGGTGCTTGCCAGTAGTAAAAGCTATATAGAACCTTTCCTTGTCCACAGGTTACTCTCGTCTCCGTTTCTGAATGTTTTTCTTTTCTTTCTAAAATAGTATAAACATAGGGCCGATCTTTGGTCAGCTACAGAGTTAGAGTTTATCTGGAGAGAATAGCAGAGTGAAGAATCGGTATAGTCCTGTGTTTTGTAGCCTTTTTGACCCTCCCTCAACTAAGGCCCCAGTTTACCAGTCAGTAAAGGCCGGTCCTTTTACAAAGAGCTTGCAAAGGAGTGCCAAAAAATAGAATATTCCTAGCTTGAAGACCAAAAGAATGAGAATCCCACAGAAATACCAGCCTAAGTCAAGGGACTGGTAGGAATTATGTATCTGAGATCTTCTATTCTGTCCATAGAACGACCTCTGTTGGTGGGAGATCCTTCAGGCCTTGGAGTTTTCATAAGGGCTTGGGATTTCATGAAGACGTAATTTTGTGTTTGCATTCCTGGGTCGTGTCATGAAGAAGGGGTATAATTAGGTTATTACATCACTAAATCCTTGTTGATTCTGAGTTCCTATGAATTTGGATTTATAGTGGTCTGCCCAACTGGACGGAGTCTGTTTTTAGTCAACTGTAGCCTGGTAGAAAGTAGGAGACGGGCACGTGGGTGACTCATTTGGTTAAGTGTCTGCCATCGACTCAGGTCATGATCCCAGGGTCCTGGGATTGAGCCCCATATGGGTTTCCCGCTCAGCGGGAGCCTGCTTCTCCCTCTCCCCCATCTCATGCTCTCTCACCATCTCTGTCTCTCTCTCAAATAAATAAAATCTTAAAAAAAAAAAAAAAAAGTAGGAGACAACCTAGTACTATCTCCTATTCACTCTCTGATCTTGGGCAGATCACTTAACATCCCTGGCCTTTAATTTTCCGCAGCTGAAAAATGAATGTGTTAGACTGAATCTCCAAGATCCCCTCTAGGATGGGCTTATTTCTGGGGCCTTGATCTTTTAGTCCTTGGCAGATCTGAGGGAGCCTGACCTGCCCAGGACCCTCATACTTCTGTTTGCTCCAGTGAATCTAAGCAAAGAGCCGCAAGAACAGATTTAGAGATTCTTTTCCCTTTCTGCTGAACAAACTCGACAGGAGGTTCAGTTCAAAAACGCTTTACTTAGGACCACCACATTCCCACATTCACTTCTTAGGACTAACTACTGCATTTGTTTCTAATTTATTAAGATTTTGGGAGGGGGCCTGAGTGGCTCAGTCGTTAAACGTCTGCCTTCGGCTCTGGTCATGATCCCAGGGTCCTGGGATCGAGCCCCGCATCGGGCTCCCTGCTCGGCGGGGGGTCTGCTTCTCCCTCTCCCACTCCCCCTGCTTGTGTTCCCTCTCTCGCTGTGTCTCTCTCTGTCAAATAAATAAATAAAATCTTAAAAAAAAAAAAAAAAAAAAGATCTTGGGGTTATGGGAACTGCCAAGGGAAAGGAAGTATTTTTTTTTCTTTATAAGACCTTACTTTGTGTTACATACTGAGCTAAGCGCTTTACACATAATTCTTACAAATTATATATTACCTATATTTTGCTAGTGAGGAAACTGATACACTTAAGCAATTTGCCCAAGGTTACATGGCTCATAAGTTAGACAACCAGTGCTTGAAGAACAGTGTGGAGGCCCTCAAGTGTCTTGGGGTTCATGAAAGTCTTCAGGTTGTTTTTTTCCTTTTTAAAAATAGTGGTAGGTAGTTTATAGCCTCTAGCTCCCCCTTCCCTACTACCCCATTTCTGTTCAAGTCTTGCTTTCAAAGAAACCACAAGTTCCAGATACTGTTCTGCCCTCTTGGTGGTATACCAGTGAACTGAACGAACAAAAGCCCCTACCTTTGTGGATCTTATATTAATTCAATTCAGTCTTTAATCCCAGGATATCTTGTTATCCGTGGTTTTCTAGATGATAGGCACTATTTGAGAGAGGTTTCCAACAAAATACTAAATAATTTCTTTTTTTTTTTTAAAGATTTTTTATTTATTTATTTGAGAGAGAGAATGAGATAGAGCGAGCATGAGAGGGGGGAGGGTCAGAGGGAGAAGCAGACTCCCTGCCGAGCAGGGAGCCCAATGCGGGACTCGATCCCGGGACTCCAGGATCATGACCTGAGCCGAAGGCAGTCGCTTAACCAACTGAGCCACCCAGGCGCCCAATACTAAATAATTTCTGAGAATATTTGCCCCAGGGTCATCAAATCCCATTTAGAGAAACACTGTTGACAAAGTTTTACTGGGATTTGCAATATGTGAAACAGGCATAAGTGAAGTTACTTTAGTTAAAGTGGGGATGAAGGATCCTGGAGCCCTATGTTCTCATAGCCTGCTTTCCCCAAGATCTCTGAGTAGCTCCAAGCAGCCTTTATAAATCCATAGAATGTAGTTTGAAGACCACTGTTACAGTAGTAGAGCAAGGGAACTGAGAATTAGAATCTCGGCGTTTCTTTATGGCTGTTGTTCACTTTTCTTCTATCCTTTATTCCTACACATAGATTCCGTTCTGATTGTTCAGACCACATGAATGTCAGATTTCTTCAGTGGAGTGCTAACAACAGATCGTTTCCAATGTTCACTAAGTAATGTCTGTCATTAGTGCACATGAGCCCCTGTTCAGTTTTGTGATGGTAAAGAGAGTCTTGGCATTGCTGTAGTCAAGTAATTTAATGTCTCTCTCTGCCTTAGTTTTTTCATCTGAGGAGGGAGGGAAGAGGGTTTGACCAGGACCTGGTTTTGCCTATTTTTGTTACAGTTTTATGAAGGCTTGGGGAGATGTCTGTCAGGAGTTCACAGCAGTCTTCATGGGTATATTTTTTTAATTAGAAAAATATATTTTGTTTATAAGGAAGGGATGATCTGATTGTGTCCATTTTCAGTACCATGGAGAGTTCAGGCTTTCCCATCTTGTTGCTTGCCTTGGGTGGGTGGAAAGTACATAGCTAAACCAATCCATAGAGCTGCATGGTGTAAATCTGCCACTTTGCAGAGCCCAGTTTATCTGTCCAATCTCCAGTTCTGATTGGTAGCAGATTGAGTGAGAGTCAGCAACAGTCCTGAGTATCCTCATCCTCCCTGCAATCTATTAGGTGTGTAAATCTCAGATCTATGTTTAGACTTATCCAAGGATTTGGCCAACTTGATGGAAGCGTGTGCGTGAACTCCGGCCTTCCCCTCTGTTGGTAACATCATTCGTATTGTGATGCACAAGATTTTAAACAACCCTTGAGAGGAACTCTGTCCCCTATTCTTTGCTTACAGACCCTTGAGGAGACTTAAACTTGCACTATGATTTCTTATGCTCAGCCTCTCTTTCTGCCTCTGCATGGAGAAAGGCATCACTGCTCTGGCTCTCTGCCCAGTCTTGCTTTTGTATTTCTTTGATCTCTTTGTTGAGAGGGTCTCAGAGAAGCCCCAAGAGCCGTGCCTTCGCATGTTTAAGCTATTGATGCTCTTGAAATAACAGAGCATTGCTGTGTAAGAAGTATATTAAAGGTCTGTCCTGAACAAATTTGGGTCAATAGGTGGCAGTAGTCACCTAGTCCCGAGGCCCTGACACCCCCTGAACACAAGCACATTTGATGGACATTATATTTAAGGTTGTGAGAAAGGAGGTCACATTGAAATAAAAACGGGGGAAAAAACCAGCCGTTTTTGGTGGAATCCAGGAAATGCTGAAATGTACTGGATTAGTTCTGTGGGGGTGTTGTATCGGGAGATTGCCAACAGCTTGAAGGGCCCTGGTAGGAAAGAGCAGGGCCTCAGGATTGGGGGCGGACTCCGTGGGTACTAGGGTTTCTGAGAGCTGGAGTAAGACCGTGTTAAATGAGGACCAGTGCTGGAAAGAGAGAGTCTGGGGTTGGCGGGGAGTAGAGAGGGAGAGAGGTGGAGGAGGGAGAGGCAGAACTGTGTGAAGGAACCAGGAAAGGGTGGGCTGTGATGGGGAGGACTGCGGTTAGCGGGGGAGGGGGAGGCTGCTGCAATACTGAGCCCATCGTATGGGGGAGGGGAGGAAGGGGGGATAGTGGTCTGTGCTGCAGCTGCATTGGCTCCCCTCCCCCACGCTTCCAAGGAACTGGAGCAGTGCTGGCAAATCTGTCTTCATGTATTTATTATTATTAAGAATGTGACGGATCCTCCTCCCTGGAAGTACAACAAATACCACTGATCGCATTTCTCTCTCCTCCCTCTGCAGAGCTTTTGCGTTCTCTCTCTCATTCTTTCCACCCCGGCCCCCTCCTAGGTCTGTTTGACTGTTGGGGGTGGGGGGACACCCTTCCTTTTTCCTTCTCTGAGTTTGGTGGCTCCCTGGGGGTTTCTAACGATGGTTGGGAGTTTCAAGGCGATGCTGGGAGGAAGCAGCTGAAGGAGGGGCATCCACTGCCCCAGGGAGGGAGCTGTGCTCCAACATCCAGTGGGGACAGGAAATCACTTGGCGATAAAGAAAAGTCCTTTGTCAAGCTAACGAAAGCAGCAGCAGCACGCATGTTCCTTGCAGTACCTGGCCTGCCTTCCCTTTCACACCCTTTTCTAGTGCCTGAATTCTAAGGGGGAAACCCCCTTGGAATGGAAAAAGCCAGGAGTTCTGTGTCCTCCCTCCTTACCTTGCTAAGTCCCTCTTTTCCCAGGAGCGCTGTATAGAATTTATTCTTCTAGCCTGCGTGTTGGTTACCGAGAAGGGCTAGCTTCTCCCTCCCCCCCCCCCCCCCCCCCCCCGCCCCGTACCCTAGACTTCCCGTGCCCAGGCGGGGGCCTCTTTTGTTGCCGTCTGTAACCCTTCGCCATGCCCATAGGTGGTGCTGCTGTTGCTGAGCATGCTGGCCCTCCTCCCCAACACCACTGCTCTCCACCCCCCCACCGCGCCCTCCCCCTTTCCCCAGCCCTCTACTGCCTGATTGTTATTCCACCAACGTCTCCTCTACTGTTCCCGTCCTCAAATTAATTTTGTGGCGCTCTTTTTTCCGCAGTGCCATCTTCCCCTCCCCCCCGCTCCAGCTCTCTTGCTTTCTCTATTTCTCTCTCTCTGCAGGGTTTTTATCGGCCACCCCTATCTAAAATCTACACTCTTCCTTACGCCCTTTCTTTTTCTTTCTCTCTTCTACTGTTGGCATCTTACAGATGACTCTCCTAATGAAAAGCGGCTGTGGATGAGAGTGGGTGAGAAGAGAGCAGGGTGAGGGGAACTGAGGAGTCAGTGTCGAGGGCTAGGTCAGGAGAGTGACAAGGCTCTGAGGGAAGTGAATGGAAGTGGAAAAGTAAAGGTATCCTTTGCTGTCCAGATCTGTTCAGTGTTTGGATTTGGATGAGAGCTCAGCTGGCAAGGGAATACTGTGTTATCTGAATTCACAGAATTTGATTCCATGTGCTGGGACAGTGGGAGATAGGGAGTTACAAGAATTCAGATAATAAGGGCTTCATCCAAAAACTTCTGGTTTAGAGGCGCCTGGGTGGCTCAGTCGTTAAGCGTCTGCCTTCTGCTCAGGTCATGATCCCAGGGTCCTGGGATCGAGCCCTGCATAGGGCTCCGCAGGAAGACTGCTTCTCCCTCTCCCACTCCCCCTGCTTATGTTCCCTCTCTCACTGTGTCTCTCTCTGTCAAATAAATAAAATCTTCAGCCAAAAAACCCCAAAAAACGTGTGGTTTAGATTGCTAAGGATAGCTGTGCTTTTGTTACCCTGTATTTGAAGACTCAGGAAGAAAACCGTGCTCTAAAACCTGTTCTCTGGTCCCTCAGGAGATGTCCTGGTACTGATCTTTTGAGTCTTGAGAAGGTCCTCTTGCCAGGACAGCTGTGATGCCTGCTTGGTGGGTATCCTGGCTGCCTGCTGAGCACAGTTCTGGCTATAGGACCTCAGTTTGCTCTTGCAGCCTGCTGCTTTCTCCTGCCATTCCGGGTCTCCTTTATCTCAACCAAGTTGACATGGTTGCCATGTCTGCCTTTCTCTCAGCCATAGCTGCCTTTATTGTTTAGTCTTTCCAGAATATAGCCCAAATGCATCAGACCACTACCCTAGCTCTTACCCCACCTGGCTTCTTAACTTTATCTGGAGACTGCTCATTGTGTGACCAATACAACCCCTCAGCTAACTCAGCAGTGTCATTGATTGTAAGGTTATCCCGTTTCTAGGATGGCTAATTTTCCTCTTACTGAATTATCTTTATGGATGAATAGCATCCTAGCAACTCTCTGGACAACAGTGCTGAGTCTTTGCCTTGTGTGTGCCCTAGGAATTATGGATGAACATCCTTCCTTCATTTCCCCATGAGAGGAGATCTTCCGTAGCATATGTGGCTGTCCCAGAGCGACTGGCTCCCAATTCCCTAGCATGTGTGGGTCAAAGCTGCCTCCTAGATTGGAGAGAGGCAGAGTTGCCTGCCCAGCAGAGCATGGGAAGGAGCCTCAGTGAAAACGGGGGCTAGAACACCACACCCTTAGCTTTTTTCTCCAAGCCTTGCAGGTGTCTGTGAAAACCTCTCTTGCCTGCCTCTCCCACCTTCCTAAGGTGTGCATATTGATGGAGGCAGGTAGGCCAGTGGACTCTTTGTTTCCTCAGCTGAATTTTCTACTGCCCTTTTTCAGACCCTCTAGTTAGGGTCATGGACTCATGTAATATAGACAGTGATCCCTGTTAAGTTCCCTCTCTTAAAAGCAAGGCCCTGGGGCACCTGGGTGGCTCAGTCGTTAAGCGTCTGCTTTCGGCCCAGGTCATGATCCCAGGGTCCTGGGATCGAGCCCCGTATCGGGCTCCCTGCTCCGCGGGAAGCCTGCTTCTCCCTCTCCCGCTCCCCCCCGCTTGTGTTCCCTCTCTCGCTGTGTCTCTCTCTGTCAAATAAATAAAATCTTTAAAAAAAAAAAAAAAAAAAGCAAGGCCCAATAAATATTTGTTGCACTGAATGGCAGGAACTTTTCAGCTTAGTACCTGTCTAGAAGAGTTATAAATTAAGTTTTAACTGTTTCTTCCCTTAGTGCTTATGGTGCTGTAGCAAAAATTGGTTGATTTTTGTTTCTTTCATTCAAGCCTTACAGAGGGAAGTGATTTGTCCAAAACTTTATGAATAAATCATTAGCAGAGCTGGCATGAGAGCCTATATATCCTCTCCGACATCTAGGTCTGGCTTTGTTGACTCCCTCTTGGAAACCAGTGTTCCTATTTCATCCCCAGAGTCACTGACAGCCTTGAAGCCAGCAGCAGGTCAGGTTTTATGTCTAAGCTAAGCCAGCCTTGGTTGGCCTGCTGAGGGAGAGCATTAGCAGTGGGAGAGCTGGGGTATGTGGGCCAGCCGAGGCACCTGCCAGATTCCTTTCGGGTGTTCCACAATCCAGCCTATTGGAGAGGCCTTGACAGTAGCAAGGTAGGGGATTTCCAAAGCCCTGGCTTCTATTTCCCATTCCACATTTAATTTGACCTTATTGCTAATATACCCCTTTCCCTAAGACTTCTCCCCCTCAAAACTATCTTAGAGCTCCAGCTCTTAAGTGGTGGATGCTGGAAACTCTGGTCTCTGTTCTTTCCTTGCTGCTCATTTGCAACTAACTCTTCAGTTCCAGGCTCACTAAAATAACAAAAGGTTCTATGGAACACCTGCTTCCTCCTACTCATGCCTGTGATCTGGAATCTAGTGTAAAACCATCATTGTGGCTCTATTAATAAATGTCCATGTAGTTTTTTATTGTTAATTTAAACCTAGACTAGAAAATAGGCTCAGAAAGCATTCATATATTTCTATTCTGACTGAGCCTGTAGCAACTTCCTGAGAACTGCTTTGTCTCATCTGCCAGCCTTGGGTTTAGCCCCATGGGTGAACTCTGGAGAATAAAGAGCCCCCGAGTTTCTACTTCCTCTCTCCCAATTGTGATTCACTCACTGCTAGCTCTTGCAGGAAGCCCTAGGAGGTAAAGAGATCAAATCAGAATTCCTAGCCAGGAAAACCCTGTCTCTTAGCTACAATGACCCCTATCTGCCATTGCATTCAGCTCTATGGCAGTTAACACCAGAAAAGCTTCATCTGGCTTCACACCCTCCTTCTGTTTCTTTCAGACAAGCCTTATGTAATCTATCACTGATGGCAGACTTCCTTCTTGCCCTCCTCTATTCCCTCCAAGGCTTTAAGCTCCAAAGCTTCCTAGATGCCTCCCACCAAAGGGGTGCTTTCTGAAGCCCCTTTCCTCTCTTTCTCATCCCTCAAATCCTCAAATCAGCCCCCTAATGGATGTATTTCCCTCAGTAGCAGATGATACCCTTAGTGAGCCAGCTGGGTGGTGCTAAAAACCCCATTCCTCACCCATCTCCCCGCTGGAGCTCCTGGAATCGGGTCTGCAGCCTCCTGTCATCCTAGCCTCCTTTTCTGTTCATTTGGAAGCTTTTCTCCATTGCTTTTGATAAATTCCTGGTTTGGCAGAAATATCCAGTATTTAGGAAGGTCCTGCGAGATGAGTTCCCTGTCTCCGGCACCTTAGTTGACCCTCAGAAGGATCTGCTCCTGCCCCTCCCTGCCTTGCTGCCTTTCCCCCTCTGCCCGGCCTAGGCTGGGTGGGATCAGTATGTGGAAGTCCTCTGCTCGGACACTCCATCCCTCTTTATCCATCATGGCAAACAAAGCGTAGCTGTGCCCCTGACTTCCTCCTCTTCCTTCTCCATTATTTATTTCTTCTCTTTCGCCTTCTCCCACCTCTCCCTTCCCTCCTCACGTAACACTTTTCATTCCTCTTCCTTTAAATCTCCTCGTCCACTTGCTCCCCCTCGCCCATCTGTGCCTACTCCCTCCACACCCCCATCTCTCATTTTCAATAGCTATCTTCCTCATTGCCTGCACATGCTGAGGAAACAGGCAGGTATGGGAAGAATGGCTGCAAAGTGGGTCTCTGGTTGTCAGAGTAAGCTATCCCTTTTTCTCCAGAGGATTAGTGCCTATCTTTTCCCATCTTGTCCTCAGTGGTCCTTTGGAGCCAGGGAACCCCAAGATGCTGGCTCGCTCTTTTGGGATGAACAGTCCCTCCTCTTTGCTTCATCCAGTGTTGCAGAGGAGAGGAGTCATTGGATCCGATGCCCTCTTCTTTTGCTCTTCCTGAGTGTGGGTCTGTCCGTGTTTCTCCCCCTTCTTTCTTGTTTTCTCCCTCTTTCTGTCTCTCCCCAGCACAAAGCAGCGGCAGGACTGAACGATTCTGTCTAGAGGCTCTGCCAGTCTATGCCCCTCACTCTTGCCCCTCCCCCTTCGCTGTGCGTGCTATGGGAGGGGGGGTTGGAGGGCGGTGGCATGGTGCCAGCCAACCCAGAACCATCTCCGGTGCCTTCTGCACTAAGGCGGGCTCTGTCTCTCCTGCCCTCCTCCTCTCCCACTCTTCCTCTCCCATTTTTAATTAGCTGCTGCATTAATTAAATCCCACATGCTAATTAACATTCCTACGGGGAAGCAAGCCGGGTCAGAAAAGCAGGGGGTGGTAAAGCAAGGCTTCTGTCCATCTAGGATAGGAGACTTTGGGATGGGAGGTAGGGGGAAAGGGGATAAAGGGTAGATGAGGAAAGAATCTAAGTGGAAAGAAACCCGAGAGAGGTATAAAGAGACAGAGAAGGGAAATCATGGAGAATGGAACCTATTAAAAAGGAAAATAATTAGAATAATTAAAATGGGAGAAATGAAAGTGTCTTGAAGCCTCTGAAGGTTAGAGGTAGAGCTATGGGTCTCAACATTAGCATGCATGAGTAACCTGAGAAATAATGATACAGAGGATGCTAATTTGCTGCCGTGAATGTCTTCCAAAGAAATAAATCTCAATTTCAGTAGGAGTGCTTTAGGTTAGTAATGAAGGAGGACTTCCTCCTTGCAAGGCAGTGGCATACTCTGCTGAAGAAACTCTTTGGGAGATAAATTCTTACCTGTCTAGAATGGTTAAAGTTTGCCCCAAACCAGCGGAGATGATGAACTTTGAAGGTGTTTTCTAAATAGACAAATATTAATCTGTAAGTGTGTACTCTGTCCTGGAGAACCAAGAAAATCCAGGATGGGAAAATTCAGGATTCGTTCTCAGTTCCCTTTACTTACTGCATTCTGGTGAGCTTTGAGTTTGCTCTCTGTAGTCCTGTCAACTTTTTAGGGATGAGCCTTCTCCTTAAATTAGATAATTGCTTTGCTGGGAGGTTTAGAGCACTGATTCCTGGTGAGATCTTCAGAAAGATGAGTGCCTTATGGCTACCATGGCATCTGTCTTTGAGCAAGGGGTAGAGAGACGAGAACAACTGGAGTTACATGTAAGAGAGCAGAGAAGGGAGGTTTGGGTATGGATTGACAAGGGTAGGTCTGGCACCAAGGATTCCATTAAAGTCACTACTGTGGCCCAACCTGAAAAAATTAAGGACATCTTGTCATTGCTTTTCTTCTCTGAAGGGTAAAGAAAACTGTATTCAATACAGCTCTAAACTCCCCCTTGTTTAGCACCCCACCCCCCTCCACCAAGAACTCAAGTCTGGGAGGAGTCCAGCAGGTTAGAAGAATGTTTCCCAACCATTTTGAGTCTGAAATACACCGAGAGCAAGTGCTGTGTTGTCTACACCCCTAACCAACCTTCACTTAGACGGCGTTAATTCACTCAAATATATTTGCATACAAGCCGTGCAGAGTGTGATACAGTGCAGTAAGTCAGCCTGTGTGTATGTATCAATGTGTGTGTGGTCCTCTAGCACCTATTGGCCTGTGCTGGTCTTGTGTCCTCTTATATTGTTACTTATTCTTTCTTACATCTGTGTCTGATCTGTCACAGAGATGGTGGCTCCTGGAGAAACCAGGTCTTTGGAGTGGGACACACAGAGCACTAGCCTAAACCCTTACATGTTTGCAGCTCCTCAGCAAATGTTGATTAACATACAGCCATATATCGAGGTTTAACAGTTGATTTAGAGTCTGTGACATTCCTAGTTGTGGCGAATATTTTCCTCTGAAGGGACCACTTATTTTTTAAAGTTATGAAAAGCGTGACGGTGAGTAAGATAATGAATTATGTGACGAGTAAGGTAGGCAACTCCTTGATGGGGTTTGACGCCAGTTTCTAAAGAGGGGCCAGGCCTGAGGAGAGGCAGCGGAGTGCAGAGAACAGGGCATAGGCTTGTTGTTGTCTGTACTGTGTTCCCTTTCACTCTCTCGTAGACATTTCCCAGCATCTTCCCACTCCAGAATTATGATTAGGCCATTCGTGCCCATTTACATCCTATTTTGTCCACTTAATGTTGTGTCATATTCTCCTGTGCTATTAAAAATCAGGTTAAAGAACACCTCATGAACATGTAATATTCTAACATGGATGTACCATAATTTGTGAAACCATTTCTTATTGTTGGACATTTAGGATGTTTCCAGGTTTGTTGTTATTGTTTCTTCCTTCTGTGATGGATATCCACATCTTTATACTTAAATCTTGCAATTTTCCGAAGTGGAATTTCTGGAGCAAAGGATAAAGACCCCCATTCTGGTTTGTGGATTGACTGCATTTGATTCACGTAAGGAAGCTTATTATTATTTAATTTTTTAAAAGGTTTTTTTTTTTGAATAGGTAAAAAATTCAGACACTACAAAAGGGAACACAATGCAATTTCCTTCCACCTTTGTCCCTCATTTCCCTCCCCAGAGGTGTTCTATGCATGTATAAGCATATGTATAGCTGTAAAAAATAGAAATCAGGGCGCCTGGGTGGCTCAGTCGTTAAGCGTCTGCCTTCGGCTCAGGTCATGATCCCAGAGTCCTGGGATCGAGCCCCACATCAGGCTCCCTGCTCCGCGGGAAGCCTGCTTCTCCCTCTCCCACTCCCCCTGCTTGTGTTCCCTCTCTGGCTGTCTTTCTCTCTGTCAAATAAATAAAACCTTTTAAAAAAAAAATAGAAATCATTCAATCCCACCTCCAGAAATTCTAATCTGGTCTGAAAAGGAGCCTTAGAATGTCTCCTCCCCTTCCCCCACCTGTAATAGCTTTCTAGCTAATTCTACTGTGCAGGCAGATGTGGGAACAACCACCAAGTCAGATGAACTCTCGGGATCCTTTCCAGCTCTAAAATTTAATGACTGAAACTCACAGAATTAGTAATTTAAAAAATAATAATGATTAATGTTAAGACTAAATCATAATCAAGTGTCATAAAGATTCTCTTTGAAATGATCTCAGGGATCCAATTTTTGATACTGAATTTATTATTATTAATACAAATAATGGCTACCATTTATGGAGTGCTTATCTGTGCCAGGCTTTTAGAAAGTACTTTAAACATTCTCATTTAAATCTCATAGCACCCCATGAGCTAGGTAATTCTTAAAGCGAGGCTTTGGAAAGATCAAGCAGTGAGCCCATGATTGAGGAACCATTAAGTGGCAGAATGAAGATTTGAACCCAGGCGGCTTCCTCTGGTGTCTATTCACCTCTATCCCCACCCCAGCCGTGAGATCATACTCTGCCTGTTGTTTGGTAAACTTCCTTTTTTCACTAAAATGTGTCTTGAATGTCTTTTGTTTCATATATAAAGGTGGTATTTATGTTCATTTTTAGGTTTTTTATTTTATTGTTTTGTCATGCATTACACATGAATACATTTCTAAAACAAAAAATTAAAATAGTACAGATAACGGAAACTCCCTTGATCTCACGCCCTCAATTCTTATAACCACTGTTACCAGATTTGTATGTATCTGGGCCCTCTTCCATGCATTTATGTATGTACAGAAATATATGGTTTTTTTGAGTGTTTTGTAGTTGCTATTTTACTTTTACATGAATGGGAGCACCCTATACATAGGGTTTTGTAACGTGCTTTTTAAATTATTGTATCATGAAAGTCTTTCTAGGTCTTTAAAGATCCTTTTCAATTTTTTAATTGCTACATAATACCTATAGCTTAAGCAACTATTTTGCTGGTGATAGGAATTATTATAAACACTACTATTGTGAAGAATGTTGAATTGTTTTTCTCACAGATGCCTAGAAGTAGAATTGCCGGATAGAAGTTTTAAAATGTTAATGGACACTGGAGTTGCCCTCCAGAAAGGCTAAATGAGTTTGTACTTCACCAGCAGTGCACGAGAGTGGCATTTCCCTTGCCAGTACCGGACACACTGCAGCTCTTCCCCTGAATTTGCTTTATGTTAATTGCTTCTTCTGGATGGTCTCTTGCAGAACAAGCCAAATATTGACAGATCTCTTTTGATTAAACTCTAGGGTAACTTTTCGCCTATTATTTCTGACCTCTGTACTGGGCCTGTTCTCTGAGATACATAGACCTTTTTTTTTTTTTAAAGAATCGAATTGTCTAAGTCTTGTGTCTCTTCCGGAATGTCCTCATGCCTGTCTGCAACCCCTTTCGCAGTCGTTAATATACCTGGAATGGTTTAGGCATAACCCTGCTTACAGCCAGAATGCTTCTCTCAATTACCTATTGGCACAGGGAGAAGCGAGTCAAAGAATTACATAACACTTTTTTTTAACACATTGTTTATTCGCTATTTTAATACTTTCTTTGTTTCGTAGCTATGATTTCTTCCTATTGTAATCTTTTTAGAATGTGTGAGTCTGGTACCTTGAGTAGACGCACTAACTGGTGGGATTATCATCAGCTTGTCAAGAGGCCTCTTGGTTTATAGGGCAGCACTGACTAGCACCCAGAGTGAAAGGGCCTGCCCTAATGATAAGGCAGCCTCAAGCCTTACTGACTTTTGGATCGCAACACAGGGATAAACAACAAAGAAAGACAAACAGTACTAAAATTAAATGAGAAGAAAAAAACATTGTTTGCTACATTAACAGGTTCAGTTGCCTTAATAGTTATTAGAGGAAAAATAAAGGAGATGGTGAATTTAGAAAGGCTGCTTTCTATTCTTTAAGGCCATTCTTGATTCTTCTCCTGTGTGAATAATGGAAGAAGAGCAGATATGTGGAGGGCTAAGAGGTCTTTCCCAGCCCTGCGGATCTAGAGTCCTTGAATAATTTGGAGGATTTGTTTCCGTGGCTATAGAAAATGCCATTTGGGCAATTTACCTTCCAGATCTTGATGTTATCGACTGATAAATGACGAAAAAAATTCTCAGGGATCATTCAAGAAATTTTGGGGCTCTAATGCTGAAAGGGAGTTTGAAGATCGTTTAATAACAGCATATGGTTTAGTGGGTTTTGGGATCTGAAAAAAAACTGAAGTTCAGCCACTTCTTAGCTGCAGAGCTTTTGGCAAGTCACCTCTCTGAGCCTCAGTTACTTCGTTTGCAAAATAAAGAGAATAACTCCATTCTAGGATTTTTACAAAGGATAAAAATAAGTATAAAGCCTTTCTTGTAGTTCCTCGCCTTTGGAAGGTACCTTAGTGCATGTGGTTATCATGTGGGCCAGCACCCTATTTTGCATGAGGAAACTTGGGCTCAGGGAAGTGAAATGGACAGCCCAAGGTCACAGAGGGTGTGAGTAGCAGAGCCAGGCCTCAGATTTAGATTTTTTTTACTTTTGGCCCAGTTTCCTTTCTAACAGCCTACATTTAGTCTTTTTTCATTCTTTATTAAAAAACAAACAGGGGCGCCTGGGTGGCTCAGTTGGTTAAGCGACTGCCTTCTGCTCAGGTCATGATCCTGGAGTCCTGGGATCGAGTCCCACATCGGGCTCCCTGCTCGGCAGGAAGTCTGCTTCTCCCTCTGACCCTCCCCCTCTCATGTTCTCTCTCTCTCATTCTCGCTCTCAAATAAATAAATAAAATCTTTAAAAAAAAAACAACAACAAACAAAAAACGTGCTGCCCCTCCCCCCCATTCTTCTTTGTCTTTCTTTGTGTATAGAGAGATAATAGGGGCAGGAACCCTACAGAGGTACAGGATAGGAGGAAGTATTCTGTTGGAGAAACTTAATTGACCAGCTTATCAAAATGTCTTGCCAGGCTGGCAGAAAACCAGTGATCCTGGATCCAGCTCTGGCTGTAAGCAGTGAGAAATGTATTTTGAGCTCCTCTACTCCCTCCCCGTTATTTCCTTCAGTGCCCGCAAGCTCTGGTTGGCCAGGACTTCCAAGAGGATGAGGCTGATTTGAGCCAGTATCCTCTTGACCAACTCTGTTTTGCTCCTCACTGGGAGCTGCTGAGAGGAAAATGGCTGGTTGGCCTTTGGGATGTTTCTGCCATCTGCAGAGGGAAGAAAAGAAGAGGTGAAACTGGAAGGTCCAAGGCTGACAGTCTGGCATCAGCAAAAAGATGCAAGTGTCTGGGAATCCTTGGCTCTCCTACTGCTAACTTCTGTGCAGAGATTGCCCTGTATGGATGGAGTTGGCAACACCTACCCACTCTCCTTTCTGAGCTTCTGTCAGGGACTGCTGTAGCCTGTGCTGACGAGGATGCCTGCCAGATCCCTCTTCACTGTGGCACCCTGTGCTCTGGACCTTTACCTGCCTTTCTCAATAATATTTGATATTTTCCTCCTCCCGTTCCCAAAAGGCCTTATTTCTGCTAGGAGACAGTAAATAAATGACACCAGCTAATGACTGCTAACTAGTTTGATTTCTCATGGTATCCTTGCCAGGTGACATAATAGGTAAGAGAAGCACGTGTGTCTGCAGAAGGCCCTACGTGACTCCAGGCGTGGGCAGTTTGGGCAGCGTGGTATCTGCAGCAGGTAGCATTTGCTAGGCATGCACTAACTCTCTCGGAGCTCTGCTTTTTGCATTAGGCACTGTGCTAGGTGCTGGGATAGGACATGAACTCCCTCTTATGGAGGAATTCAGTTTGGAAGGGAGTTGGGCATGTTCGAATAGTCATTATGATAGTGGCTGTGCTCTGGAGCAGACCATTTGTGTAAGGTCCTATGTAAGATCAGCTGAGCGAATCCATTAGACATGTCGGGGAGATTTCAGAGCCTCAGTCCAGGCCTGGGTGGTAGTTGGGGGGGGCTCTGCACTTTAGTTGTCTGTAGACTCAGAATCATGTGGAAAGCTGATACTATGGTGGAGGCAGAACTCTTCAGGGCAGTTTATATTGGAACAAGCACAGCCTGTGTCTAAAAGGAATTTTCCTGGTGGAGCAGAAGCCTTGATAGCATGTTCAGCCCCACCCAGGGGTAGGGACGATCTTCACGAGAATTCACCCAATTCTGGTATGGTGCAGTGGCAAAACTGTGACTGGGGAATAATAAGACCTAGGTTGAAGTCCAAGTTTTCTTACAGAGAGCTGGATCAATTAATCTATAACTTCATCGAGTACCTACGATGTGCGAGGAGGGTATGGGAATCAGGCATATAGACTCCTTTCCTGATCCCAAAAGCCCATAGTCAGGGTTCAGGCCAAAGGTTGCATGGCCTAAAGAGGAGGAAGGTAAGTGATTAATAATTACTATTAAACAACTTAATGGCAGGAACTGAGTTACCTACAATTACATCTTTGTGTGTGTGTGTGTGTGTGTGTATGTGTTTAATAGGTACGCTGGCTCATTGCTTGGAGCTAGGTACTAGCAAAGCCCTTGATAAATATTAGTTGACTGACTATGGTCTATCAATGAAAGGAAAGCCACTTCTGAGGGCCTTGGTGAAGTGATGCTGTATCATTTGAAGAAATAACAGAAAATTCCCTCAGCTCTTAAGTGTGTCTATAGTGCTGGAGGGTCCTTGGAGGGAAACGGGGAACTAAATGCAGATGCCATCATTAGTCTGGCCCATGCCATTGGGAGACCCTTGTCCTGTCATGAGACGCGACCTGCCTATGACTTCCGTCCAGGCCACTTGGAGTGGAGGCAAGTACCTTGGACCACGAATCAGAGGCCTGGGCTCTACTCCCACTTCTGCCATTTGCCATCTGGGTGAATCTGGGGGAGTCAGCCCTGCCCGTGCTGCGTAAAGGGAATAATGTCTACCCTGCATTAATACGGTAGTCCCCCTTTATCTGCAGTTTCATTTCCCGAGGTTTCCGTTCCCCGCAGCCACCTGCAGTCCAGAAGCAAGATGATCCTTCTCATGTGCCATCAGGTCAGTAGTAGCCTCATGCGCCTCATGCACCTGTGTCATTCCCCTCACTGCTTCATCTCATCACGTAGGCGTTTTATCATCTCACGGGATCCCAAGAAGAAGAAGGGTAAGAGAGACCACATTCAAATAACTTCTATTACAGTATATTGTTATAATTGTTCTATGTTATCAGTTATTGTTCATCTCTTACTGTGCCTAATTGATAAACTTTATCATAGGTATGTGTGTGGGGGAGAAAACATGGTATGCATGTGGTTCGGTACTGTCTGTGGTTCAGACATCCACCAGGGGTCTTGGAACATATCCCCTGTGGATAAGGGGGGCTACTGTATGCAGAACAGAAAATCTCCAAAGCAGAGCTTAAAGGATAATGTGGTCCTATCCACAAAGCACCCTATTCAGAGGCATTCACCCTCTAAAGTATCCCTGCTCTGTAGATGAAGTAATGAAGTCTAGAAAGGCTAAATGACTTGCAGATTATGTGTTGAGCTGATGGTATCTTTGTTTCAGAGAAAGAGATCTTTCCTCAATTGTCACCTTCTCTGTGTTTAAAATTGCCCCTTGCCCCTCCTTCCGTACACACTCCGTCTCCCTTTCCTGCTTTATTTTTCTCTGTAGCGCCAGCACCATTTAACATATCATATATCCTTAGAGATGGCTTACCTGCTGGACATTGCCTTATGCTACATTTTAGGCTGGCATTTCAGAAGCAAAGAAATGAAGGATGGTGATGAAAGTGAGCCCTGGACATTGGAGCCTTGGGCCCTATCTTCTGGCTGAGAAGGGGTTCTGCCAAGTAAAAGGATCTTGGAAGTCTGCTTCGCTGGGTTCAGCTTCTAGGTCAAGGGTAAATCTAGTAGTAGGTAATGTTTGCAAAAAGAGATCTGAGAAATAGGGTTCTTGGGTTCCTTTGCTTTTGTGCTTGGTCCTGGGTTCTGTCATCATGGCGGAGGCCAAGAGGATTCTAAGGGCTCAGCTTCCCTAGAGTGAATTCTCCTATAGGCTTGTCCAGTTAGGAATAAGGCTACTGTATTAAAGCTTCGGGTTTATGCAAGATGTAATGATTAATGAAAGAGGGATTATTTACTTAGAAAAGGATTCTGGGCATTTGTGTGCTGTAGATGACAAAACCCTGGACTAAGCCTTAGCAGCGCTAGGTTCCGGTCTCGGCTTTGCAGCTAATCTTCTGGGTGACCTTTGGCCAGGCACTATACTTCTCTAAAGCTGGTTTTCCCCATTTCTCTCTAGGTTGGAAGAATTGTGTAAGATTGCAGCTTTAAAAGTCTTTAAAGCCTATAAAGGAAGGAAGGAAATGACTGTTCGCATTTATGAGGTGACTCCTAAGAGCCAGCTACAGTGTAGGATGTGTTCATCAGGAAAATTAGCTCATTTAGTCTTCACAAGCACTTGGACCATTTTACAACCATTTTATAGATTAGGGAACTGAGGCTCAGGGGGATTTGTCTTCAGAGGGTCAGCAACGGTTTCAGGGTTCTGGGTCTAGTGCATGAGCTCCTACCTTAGATGTGGGTCTTGGCCCTCAAGAGACTTCCAGGTGACCCTGCCCTGCTCCTTATCCTGGCGATTCTCTACTAAACCTTAAGGTGAATAAGGAAATTGTTTTTGTTATTCAGTGGCATTAAAAGGGGGCTTATGAAACACAGCAGTGCTAAGCAGTTTTCTGTCAGCAGCCTGCGTGGGATAGATTCGGGTGGTCCCAAGATCTTTGTCCAAACATCGTTGACCTCAGCATTTGACCTGTTGACCTCTTCTTCTTGAAACTCTTCTCCCTTGGCTTCTGTGATACACTCTCCTGTCTGTCTTTGTATCATTCTGTTCCTTTTTGGTCTCTTTTGGTGCAGGCACCGCCTCCACCCCTTATATGTTATTTTAAGAGTCTGCCTCTTCTTTACTTCTCACTCAGCATTTTCTCCCTGGCTGATACAGCAGTCATTCCCAAGGATTCAACTCCACCAATTTCCTAATAATTCCTACATCTCTATCTTCAGCTCAGATTTCTTCCTTGAATTTCCAACTCCTCTATTCAAAAGCTGCTTGCTGGGAGCGCCTGGCTGACTTAGTCGGTAAAGCACATGACCCTTGATCTCAGGGTTGTGAGATCGAGCCCCACGTTGAGTGTGGAGATTACTTAAAAATAAATCTTTTTAAAAAGGGCGCCTGGGTGGCTCAGTCTGTTAAGCGTCTGTCTTCGGCTCAGGTCATGATCCCAGGGTCCTGGGATCAAGCCCCATGTCTGGCTCCCTGCTCAGCAGGGAGTCTGCTTCTTCCTCTCCTTCTGTCCCTCTCTGTCGGCCCCTCCCCACTGCTTGTGCTCTCTCTCTCTCTCTCAAATGAATAAATAAAATCTTTAAAAAAAAAAGTTAAAAAAAAATCTGCTTGATGGGTATGTCCACCTCGATGATCTAAACAAACTTTATTTTATTTTATTTTTTTAAAGATTTTATTTATTTATTTGACAGAGAGAGAGACAGCTAGAGAGGGAACACAAGCAGGGGGAGTGGGAGAGGAAGAAGCAGGCTCCCTGCTGAGCAGGGAGCCCAATTTGGGGCTTGATCCCAGGACCCTGGGATCATGACCTGAGCTGAAAGCAGACTCTTAACGACTGAGCCACCCACCCAGGCGCCCGTAAACAGACTTTATTTTAGCTTGACTTCTAACTTCAGACTTTTAGCCTAATTTCTAAAGCTAACTCCATTATTTCCCCACCAAATCTACTTTTTTTTTTTTTTTTTTTTTTTTACCAAATCTACTTTTATTCACTCTCCTAGTAGGTGATTCCATTCTCTTCCTGATCACCAAACATGGGAACTGAGCGTCTTCCGGCATCTTTTTCTTCACTCATCCTTATATACCACCAGTTAAGAAAAGCTGATCTTAACTTCCCTTTCCTTTTTTTTTTTTTAAGATTTATTTATTTATTTAACAAAAAGAGAGGGAGGGAGAACACAAGCAGGGGGATCGGCAGAGGGAGAAGGAGAAGCAGGCCCCCCACTGAGCAGGGAGCCCGATGCGGGCTTGATCCCAAGACGCTGGGATCATGACCTGAGCCGAAGGCAGACGCTTAACCGACTGAGCCACCCAGGCGCCCCTTAACTTCCCTTTCCTATTACCACTGTTTCTGTTCAGTTTCTAGTCACCTCTGACCTCAACCAGCCACAGCCTCCTGTTATCCCTGCCTCTGGTTTCATCCCCATTCGAATCTAGCCTCTAATGAGCCACCAAAGTCATCTCTCTGAAGCACAAATTTTACCATCATTCCCCTGCTTAAATCTTTCCATTTCTCTTGATAGCCTTCAGGATAATATTTCCATATGCAGAAGGGGTATAGGTGGAATATATATGTGAAGGCCCTTTCTGCTCTGCCTTCTGCATATCTTTGCCTTATACTTTATACTGTGTAACAACAATCTGCTCATAGTTCCTTGTGTTCATTAATTGAATGATAGTGAAATATATAAACATGAGACCCCCTGGACTCGAAGTATCCCAGGCTCAAAGCTTCTAGAATAGGATGCTAGGGAATCAACTTAGCTAGAGGGCCTAAAAGTTCCTCTAACTGAGGGTGTGTGTAAATCCCACTGACATTTCTGCTCTTGGTTTTGTGGTGAAGAACTCACATTCCAGCCCTGGGATTCAGGAGACTTAGACCTAGTCTTGAATCTTTCACTTAGGGCAACTCCCATCCCATCTCTAGGCCCAGAATCAGTGGGTGAGCCAGGCAGTTAGGAGAATGGGCTCTGGAGCCCAGGCTGCCTGACTGGAATTCCATCTACTCCTCTCAAAGCTGACCTCTCCTTGCCTCAGTTTCTCCATCTGTAGAATGAGTATAATGATAGTCCCTATCTCAGAGTTGTTTAATTAGATGAGTTAACATAATGCCTGATATAGAGGAAGTGCTAAGTAAATGTTGGTTTCTATTATTATTATTACAGTTGAAGGAAATCTAGTTGGCCTCGAGAGACCTCCAGATGACAGACAATTACAAGATTAACCTAGTGGAGGTGCAGGGGACCCAGGGCTCCTTTTTAGTTGTCCTGGGATTAAATTATGTCTGAGTAACTCAGTCTTTCATGTCTATGGAATGGGCAGAAATAATGCTTGCCTTTAGCAAGTCTCCCAAAAAGTGGAAGAGCCAAAGAAGAAAGAGAAAGAAGACCTAATGGGTGTGTTCCCCATCCCTTTTGCTTTCTCCATCTAGATGCCTTTACAACTAGGCTCCCAGAGCCCTCATCTTGCTCCTAGAACCCGGGGACAGCCATGATACCCCTTCTTGCTGCTGGCTTATTCCCATTGTTCCAAGCTTCTAATCTTAGAGGATCCAGGAACCTTTGTGCTGAGGTTTAATTGATGGTAATTGTGTCATCCTTTTGGGAACATCTGCTTAACAGTTGCCCTTCCCAGACAGGCAGAGTTGCTCTAAGGAGTAGTGTCCTTGATGATGGGAAGGTTGAGTACCCTTCAGTTCTGTCCATTAGAGCCTGTCTGGGCAATAGTCTATGTTGGGTCTGGCACTTGGAAGCACTCCAGCTGAGCTGTGGCCTAGGCTACTCCCCTGGCTTATGCTAGATTTCCCCATATAAAATGGACAGACTTCCATCAGTCTAGACATGCTCATTTTCATCAGTTTACTTTCCAAGATGAGATATTTAAACTTAGCACCTAATGGCCAAAGAGCCTGTCAAAAATAGAAGGTACAGAGTCAGGACACTCTGGAAGATGAAGTCCTCAGAGCCCACCACTTCTACAGTCGCCCTTCCCAGACAGGCAGAGTTGAAGGCCTTACCCATGAAACATGCTTCACCTTAGCTCCACACTGCCACTCTCCTCTACTTCCTCGTTTTTTTCCCCAGATTTCTCCAAGGGCTATCTTAAATTTTTGTAGCTCTGACGGAAAGAAAATGGCAAGTCCACTGCACAGATCCATTACTTTTGGTCCTCGTCCTGTGCAGAGCCACATACTGGAGTTAGGTAGAATCAGAGAAGAGAGAGCAATAAGGTTCATGTAATAAGTCCACTAGCTCTCTGTCCGTACCAGAGATCCTCATGGTGTGGCCCAAACAACACCTGTCATTACAGTCACCTTGAGGATTGGGGAGAGTCTTTAAAAATGCATATTTCTGGGTCCTTCCACATTTAATTGAATCAGTCTCTGGAAGGTAGTCTGCTAGTAAGTGTTAATAAGCTTATTGGGTGAGTCTTAGGCCTACTCAGGTTGGAGGATCATGGTGTTAGAGATTGGGCTTTTAAGTCTGGGATGGCCTGAGAGGGACACTGAAGTCTGGAGGAGGGCTAAATGACCTAATTGAATGCAAGTCAGGCAGGTGCTTGGGGTTCAGCAGTAAACATCCCACTTAAATATCCAGGTTTTCCTGAGTGGCATGTTCTTCAGTCTGTGATGGGGATGGAGGAGGACATGGGGCATCCACCAGCCATCCTGCCAGAAGGGGGAGAGCACTGAAATGGCAAACCATCTCTCCCTGCCCCCAGCCCCAAATGCAGAAGTAGGCAGGTGGGTCTGACTAAAACATGAACCATTCTAACCTTAGCTTCATTTGTTCAGCAAATATTTATTGAGCACCTACCTTCTATGTGTTGGGCATTGTTATTGGTGTTTGGGATATATTCATGAATAAAGCAAATATCCCTACTCTGGTGGATTTTACATGCCAGAGGTAAGAAATAGAAAATAAACAATAAACATTATGTAAATAAGTCAATTATATGTTAGGAGGTAATAGATGCAATGGAAGAAAAGAGTAGAGCAGGGTAAAGGGGCTGGGTGGGGACAAGCATCAGTACTAAGTAGGGCAGTCAGGTAGGCCTCCCGGCCAAGAGCAGGAGGAGGGCAGGGAGCTGGCTATTCATCTGTCTGAGGAGATGCATACCAGCACAGAGAACAGAGAGTGCAAAGGCCCTGGGGGGTGTAGAGCAGATCTGGTTTAACCTTAAGTCTGGGGCTCAACGTCTTAAACCATTTTCCTAGAAAACTTACTCCCATGACCCTATTTCTGTGAGGGTGCTCAGGACCTAAAAGAAATACGACAGTAACTTTAGAAGACGTGCTAAGCTGCCGTATTAGAGAAGGTTAGTGCTGGACTGAAGTGTAGGCACCTTCCCTTCTCTTTCATGTGAATAGGGGGAAGTGAAGTGCCATCGAAGGTGTGGCAGAGATGGGACTAGACTATAGGCCCCCTTCCTGTTAGATTTTTCTGGGCAGATTTGTTTCAGATTAACCCTCCAGAAGGACAGGTCAGGACAGAGCCTGAAGGGTCAGAGTAGGCTGGTTTGTGTTGGGGGCTGTAGAAGTGGTGGGCTCTGAGGACTTCATCTTCCCCAAGATTTCTGGGCCCCTTTGCTTTTCCCTCTGCCGCCCCCCCCCCCCACCAGGGCCATCACTAACCAGTAACTCCCTCTTTGCTGCTAATGGTGGGAGGCTTAGGGAGTGGCTGTCAAGGAGAGTGATGGTTCTAGAAGACAATATACAGTTTATGAATACTGAATTTTGGAGCTCGCCTCTGCCGCCACCGTTGTAGGGAGCCAGCCAGGCTTGGTAATGTTATTTGATAATAGAATAATCATCATTTATATCGCAGCTCTGGAGAGCCTCTGCTACTGACGGTGGCTCAGTCCCTGGGTGTTCGAGAAGTATAACAGGCTCTAGCAGGGAAAGTGAACCGGGTTGAAATCCCTGACCCTAGAGAGCTGGAGTTGGGCCTCTGTCACCGACCACTGAGAGGGGGGTAATTTAGCAAAGATGACACCCAATAATAAAAGCAGCCCTGAAATACTTTCTTTAAAAAATGTGTCCTGTGAGAACATCTAGGTTTACCTCTGGCTCTCTAGTTGGGTCGTTGACTCCACTTCGTCCTCCCTTTATTGGGTGGTTCCGCAGCTAGAGGTGTAGTTAGCAGGTGGACAGTGGGTCACACTCTGACGTGGCTCTGTCACGTGCCAGAGAGCTATCCCATCAGAAACATGGGAAGGAAGGAGGAAATGGGGCCAGCTGGCACATGCATAGACTTTTAAAGATCCGAAGGAAGGACCTCATCATTCCTGGATATTTGGATGTAAATCTCTTTGGCAAATCAAACTTGTATTTCAAAGCTATTCTCCCTTTAAAATGGGGTGGTGAGTTATCTTGTGAAGAGAGTCATCATTCTTAGGAAGTTGTTAGGAGGTTACCCATGGGGGAGTGTGGGTGGAAAGTGGGGCTGGCTCACACAGTAGGACCCAGAAAGCAAAAAAAATTCGGTAATGTTCTTCAACTTTGAAATAAGCTAGACTCCCACCTTTCTCCATTGTTTCTAAGTTCCCCAAAAGGCCTTGAGAGAAAAGAGGGGCTCACACTGTGGCAGGAGGATGGATGTTCAGAAGCTCAGAGAGGCTGTGGGCCCTGGGACGTCTCTGAAGCTGGCTCCAGGGCCTCCTCACTGGTGAGTCAGGTGTCCCTCCAGCTCGAAGACAGCCTATCCTCTCGAGGACTCTGATGGAGAGGTTAAGGGACCTCAGGGACTCCAGATGCCAAAGTGAGGACAGGCAAAGGGAAGGGTGCTAGGAATACAGCAGGAGATGTCCCAGGAGGCATTTGAGGTTTCTTGACCAGAAGGAGATTGAGGTCATGGGGGAGTAGAAGCTTTGGCTTGAAACCAATAGTATATAGTGGGGGGCAGGGATGGGGGCACCCTAGAAGACAAGTTCTGAATCCATGGTATCAGAAACACTTAGGAGCTTTTGTGGAACACAAACTCCTGCGCCCATCCCCACTTCCACAGGAAGACAGAATAGACTCTCCAGAGGCAGGGAGAGGCTGCAGGGTTCCAAAGGTGGGGATGAAGACAGAGGACAGTGGTGGAAAAGAACAGGCCCGGGCCTCCGTCCACAGAGGGAAAGGGTCTGGGTGAAGCTCTTTAAGAGCATAGGTAACTGATAAATCCCATGTCAGCCTGGTCCCAGACTTTTAAGTCTTTGCCTATTTTAGAGGTCGGGAAATCCCTGTCCTGATGTCAGTGCTATCATCTAGTGGCTCTGTGACCTTGGGCAAATCACTTCACCTTTCTGAGTCTCAGTTGCTTCTACTATAAAATCAAATGGTTACTAAGGTCTCTCTCCAGCTCTTGAAACTAGAGGTCTGTGGTTCTAAAGATTGTTATGGCTGGTGTATTCCATTCAGAAGACCAGAGCCTGGGTGCTATTCCTTTATTTGTGGACTATTAGGAGGCAGCTGACCTGGGGCCAGCTAGTCTGTCTGCCAGCTTTCAGGCCACAACCACACCTGATCACTTAAGAGAGCTTTCCCCAAACTGGAACACTGCTTCTGTGTGAGTAAAATTAATTAAATTAGAAAATATAAAAATGGGGGTTCCATGGCCCAATGAGTTTGAGTATCTGTGGGTTAAACACATTCAACATTTTCTTTTTTCACAGGACTTCTCAGAGCCTTAACACACCATTATACATTTTGAATCTCTTAGAGGGGGAATAAACAGAATTTCCCAAACAAATCTGATCATGGAATCCATTTTTCTAAGGAACAGCCCATCAGATTAGTGTTTCATAGAGCACCCGCAGAAAGAAGTTTCCCTACACTGGCATCTCTCTTTCTCTAAAAACAGTAACAATTGCAAGTCAGGTGGCCCTTACTCTTTCTACAAAGGTCACAAATTCTTGACCTTCGAGGTGGGTAAGAGTGTTTCTACTCTTCCTACTCTGGAATCCCAAAGGCAGGCAATCTTTTATCACAGTCTCCCTAGCTCAGCCTTGCAGGCAGTGCCAATGATTTTTTGCTAATTGCTATTGAATTCCCATTGAATGGACACCCCTCACGGTTCCCCATATTAGTCCCCCATGCCTCCCTGCAGCAGATGCTCACAGATTGTCCCCTTCACCTTGACAGAGAGGTAGAGAAAGACAAGTCAACATGGGCTTCTCTGAGCCCAGAGCTTCCTCTCGGTGGTGACCTGGTCTAAGGATCATTGTGGCTGGATTGACAGGTAGTAGCTGTTGACTCTGGTTGGAGTTGATTTTCTGTTGATTTCTTTCGGGAAGAAAGCTGCTGGAGTCCCCCACCTAAGGAGTATATACTTCGTGGGATGGAAGGTAAGCTTGAGGAGGAGGAGTTGGCTGTCTTATTTGGGCAGGAAGGGCTGGGTTGCACTCCCTTGGACTCTGTTTTTACACCCCATTTTCCACACGCATGTCTCATCACTCTACCCTCTTTCTCCTTCGTCCTTCTTTTGGGTTCTTTCCGTCTCCCCCCTGCTCTTCTAAGCAGACAGGCTCTCCTTCCTCTTCCCCCATCCCAATCTCCCAATCCCTTCTTCACACCCCCACTGCCCTCCCAGCCTGGCAGCCTGCCCTGTAGGAATGTTAATTAGCATTCATGATTTAATTAATTCAGTAGCTAATTAATGATGGGGGGTGGAGAGCTGGGGTGCAGGGGAGCTGGGGGCTGGAGGTGGCAAGGAGAAAGAGCGGAGGCTGCAGAAGGCATCGCAGATGGCGGTGTGGTGGCTGGCACAGTGCCCACCGCCATGGATGCAGACACTCACGCGCACGCACACGTACACACACACGCACGCACACACCAAAAAAAGGAAAGGGTGATCGAGGAATAAAATCAAAAGCAGGGAGAGAAGGGCACAGGGGCCCTGGGAACTGGGGGTGGGGAAGGCTCTAGATCTATTTGAATCTGCTCCGGAAGTGGAAGAGGAGAAAAAAAAGAAACCACCACAGGCGCAGAGAGAGGAGAGAGCTCTCCCGATACCCCAGCCCACCCCCAGCCCACCCCAGCCACCCCTCCTCCCTGGCATGGGATTCATGGGCACCAGCTGAGGACAGGGTCCCCTCCCTCTGCTTTCCATAAATATTGGCACCGAGGACCCAGGCTCAGAAGGACGGGACATTCTCAAAGAAAATTGTGGGGTTTTTTTTTAAGTTCCTTTTTAAAATATATGTGTATATATATTTTTAAAGCATTGCACCTGTTTTGGTATGAGGGCGAAGGCGAGTGAAAGAAGGTGACCGAGCCAGGAGGAGAGAGCGCAGATGGCTTGGTGGTGGTATGGTGTGGTGAGTTGTGGGGAGGAGGCGAAGGGGTCTGGCAGAGGTTGGGGGTGGGCGGAATGAGGACCCTGTTTTCTTTTCGGTGTGCTGTGGATGAAGGAGAGAGAGAGAGAGAAAGGGGGTGGGGAGAGAAGCGAGACAGATGGCAGAGTGGAGAGGCGGCAGCCAGTGCCGGCACGGCCCAGCCTGGGCGGACCCAGCCCCCCCCTACCCCCTCACCCCCCACCCCCCGCCTGCCAGCTTTCCAAATGCCACCCTTCCCCCATCCTCCCCTCTCCCCATCCCCCCAGCTTGGCACTGATCTCCAAGAGGGAGGGAGGGAGGCTGGGCAAAGAGCATCTGTTCCCTCCATTCTCCCAGCTCTATCGGCTGCCAACCTAGGGCCATCGTCTGCCTCCATCACCCCTCCGCCCGCCTGCCCGCCCGCCTACCCACCCAATCCCAAACGGGTGCTGGATCAGGTGCTGAATCGGGCTGCCTCCTCGGGTATACCCGTCACTATGCATTGCTGTGTGTCTGCCACCGCTGCCTGGCACTCGTGGGGCCGTGTGCGTGTACATGTGTGTGTGTGCGCGTGTACATGTACGCAGAAGCGCGTGCTGTATGTGAGCCTCCTGGGCATGGGTGGGGGTTGGCACTGTGCTGGCCAATCTAGTGTCCAACCAGGAGGACAGAGGGATGGAGTGGCAGAAGGAGGGGAGAGGGTCGGGGCCCGGGAGGGCAGAAGCAAGTGCATGGGTTGCTTCGTGCTGCCTGCTTCCAGGCGTGGGCACTGCAGCGGGCACAAGGGAGGAGTCGGGTGGGGGTGGGGCGGCAGGAGCCCTGGGGCTCTGAGAGGAGGACCGCTGCCCTGGAGCCATTGGCATCACCCCCGTCAGGCCGGTGCCCAAGCTGGTGCCTTGGGAACAGGGGCCCCAGGAGGCAGAGAGGAGGGGCAGGGGTATGCTAATGATGTTGCTGTCCCTCTGGAGCTCAGCTCTGAGAAACGGTGGGACTAGGGGGTAGTCAGCCTTCTTCCGGTCTGGGAAAGTAAAGTGGGGGAAAGAGTAGCCAGGGAAGTGCCCAGAAAGTGTCTAAGAGCCAGGACGAGGGACTGGGCCACTGCTCCCTGGGGAGAGCTCCTCGGGGCCGGCAGTCTGGCCCTACATGAAAAGCAGGGGGACATGGGTGTGAGGCCATGGGTGCTGGCGCTGCCTGAGGAGCCGGGCACAGGCTCTGGCATTGTGTGGAATGGAGGAGGGTGGCCGTGCCTCTTGCCAATCTGCTTGAGGGGGTGGCTGTGCCAGGGGTGTGAAGGGAGGTGAGATGTTGGAGTGTGTGTGTGTGTGTGTGCGTGTGTATGAGTTGCTTGGGAGAACAGACTTTCTTCTGCCAGGACCTCCTTCCTGTTCCCTCTTAGGCATGGGGAGTGGAGCAGCAGAGGGAGAGAGGCATGAGGACACAAAGGAGGAAGCGCGCCATTGCCAAGACCCCAAGGAAGAAGGATGGAGAACGCTGGCAGTCCTGTCTGGCCCCCGGCCAGTTTCCTGCTGAAGATGGCCAGCTCCTCTTGCCCGGTCTGCGTATGTCCCTGCGCGAGCGTGCTGAGGGCGGGGGTGGGGCCTGCTTGCTGAGCTCCGGTCTAGAATGGGAAGGGCACCTTTCTGGGGATCCCATTTGGACTTTGCACTCTAACAAGTGAGCTATCTGATTTTCTCCCTGGTGCCTTCCTCTCCTCCCCCTCCCTCCCCTCCACCCCTCTTTCCTCTCTCCATCACCATCTGGGTCCTCCTGCTTGGCACCCAACCAGCTGGATGCCGCCACGCCTGGCGGTGCTGCACTGGCACGTGCGCAGTGTCTCAGATCCTGGCACTGCGGCAAACCCACAGCCGCCAGACATGCTCACGACCGCCACTTGGCGGCAGAGAGAGAGGGGGCGGCGCACACAGGCAGGCTGGGCGTCAGGCAGAGCTCTGGGCTGGGGGCTGGCACGACACGGGACCCTCGACAGCTCGCTGTGTCGGTACTCCAGCCAACCCCAACTAGACAGCCCCCGCCCTCCTGCCTCACTGCCCCCGGGAAAGGGAGTTAGCCTGCTACCACACTCAGTGTGTGGGAGCTACTGCAAGGGAAGCTGGGGCACACAGGGACAAGGGCACAGGCAAGAAGCCAAACCCAAGGCTCCAGGCCAGTGACCTGTACACCTCTCTGGGCAGTGGGGACAGGAAAAAATACCGTCGGGGTGAATGAGAGCTGGAGAGAGGCCAGCCGGCTGTGTTGTCACAGAGCTGGTGCCAGAAGAGGTTGGAAGAGAAGTGAGAAGGAGGGCCCCTCTAGCCTCGCTGCTGGGTAGTGGGGTGGTTTGCGCCTGGATGCATTTCATCTGCCTTGTGACTGGCTGAGCTGTGGTTGAGATGAATCAGTTCTTTCTCCCTTGTTAGAAGGCCCATATTCAATAACAGTCCTAGAAAAATGAAGAGGTGCTCTAGGCCTAGAGAGGTAGGCAGGTATAAGGAAGACAAAGGCACCTGGGACTTGTCCTTCCAGAAAGACTGTTAGGGGAGATACAGTGTTTCGGAATTTGTCAGTGGCACCCCAGTTAGGTAGAATTTGGATAAATATCCATGTCTTTGAAGTCCACCCCTGGAAGGGAAACCACAAATCAGCAATAAGCCCTCATAAAAAGGAAGGCTCTTAGGAGGGGAGTCCCCAGCATCTGTGATGACAGAGACCACCCCTGTGCCTTCAGGGGCAGTGCCCTTGGCAGTGCCACAAAACTGGACCTTGGGCCTCCATCTGGAAGAACTTCTAGTAGGATGGGCTTTCCTTCCTAGCCAGAAGCCGTGGATTAGCAACTAGAAAGATACTCAGGTAGAAGATTTGGCTCTGGGTGATGTTGAGGGAGACTGGGTGGCTCTGATGGAGGATAGGACCTGCCCAGAGGGAAGTCAAGCCATAGCCGTGCTGGACTGAGCTGCTTAGGGTTGGGGGAGCTCTGGTTTCAGCATTTCTGGAAGTGGATGCCAACTTCAGAAGAGGGGAGATGATTTCCACAGCAGAGGAAAAAGCAGGGAGACACTCAGCCAAATGGGTGAGTGGACAATGTTTCTTTTCTCCTGTTCAAGAACTGCCAATGTAAGCAGAAGACACAGTCAGATTTCCCAGATGGTGGAGGTGGGGGTGAAGGCAGAGTAATGAAGAAGACAAACCTGAGGTGATGCTAGGCCCCTGGTGGTAGCCCCTGGTGGAGCAGGGTTGGGCCTGGGTGCTGGTGAGTGAGGGGCAGGTCACAGATGTATATGGGCTGAGCAGCCCAAATCAGGGGTTCTTGAACTCCAGAGAGCATGGGATCACTTCAGGAGTTTCTAATTCAGCGAATCCGAAGTGTGGTTCAGAAATGTGCATTTTAAGCCAGCACTCGGGTGACCGCACTGCAGGTAGACAGAACTTTGAGAGACTGTTCTAAGATGCGGCAGTCACGATAGGACAGTTAACCTAGTCTGATTTCTCTAGGCCTGTGCATCTTTCTTCTTCCTCCCCAACCACAGGCATGTCTTATGCTGTCATGCCTGTGGTCCGTGTGTTGTGAGATGTGTGTCAGTGTGTCGTGGGTAGGAGCAGTTGGACAGATTGTGAGGTCAAATCAGGCAGATTTAGCTTGTCAGAACCATGCCTCTCACTTTACGGAACACTCCCAAATTCTGATGGTTGGCTGCCCTGTGTTTTTGAAACTTCACCACTGAGAACCACTCGGTTAGGAGCACAGCCGGGAGATGGCTCTCTGTGGTCCAGTAAGATTTGTGTGGATTCTGTAGCTCAGTACAGGATGAGTCCTAATTATACTTCTTCTTGGAGACAGGTCTGGGTCCTGGGTAGTGGAAGGAGGGGTGGACAGAGTACAGGGCCTAGCCTACTGCGGATACCTAGCAAGATGCAAATGAGGCTGTTGTTTGAGCACTTGGTGGGAATGAACACAGCATGGGTCAGTCAAGTCCAGTTGAAAAGCCATGGTATGAGGTTGGATATCAGGGAAGGACTGTGGATGTAGGGCATGCTGAGTTCCTACTGATTACCTCTTCCAGTGTTTTAGCCATTGTTTGTGTAAAAGTGTGTGTGTGTGGTGGTTGGTAAGATTAAGAGTCAACCCCAGGGGGGCGCCTGGCTGGCTCAGTTGGTGGAGCATCTGACTTTTGAACTTGGGGTCATGAGTTTGAGTCCCACATTGGGTGTAGAGATTACTTAAAAAAAAAAAAAAGTCAATACTAGGTCACCTTTCCCCATCACCTTCCTTCTGGTCCACTTAAAATCAGCCTGCTTCCACACTAGTTTCTAACCAGACACTTCTCTGTGGCTGGAGAGCTGCAGGAAACACCAGGCTCAGACTACTGACAGGGAACAATGCCATTTACCCCTTGCCTATCCTTTGTGTGGAAGGTTGTCTGGGCCCTCTGTATGATGGAGAATGACAGGGTGGGTCCTCACCTAATTTCACGTTCCTCCCATAAAGTATAGTCTCGCCCTGGAGGCTTTCCCTGGGGATCACTTCCCATCTTTCTCCAGACTTTATGAACCATGGCCTAGATCTTCTATGAATATCCTCTGTCTGGTTTTTCTTTCATCTGCCCTTTTCACAAGGTATCCAAGCTATACTCCTGCAGACTGGGTCTGTAGCCCTTCTTGTAGAAAGGGCCTCCTTGGCATTGGAGCATTTCTTCCTTAGTCCTCAAGGACATCCTTGGGGCTTACAAGTTTCTCACTAGTTGCTCCCAGCTGGTGGGTTGAGCTTCTCACTGCAGCCTAGAGAGAAAGGCCCTATAACACAGGGTCCCAGCCCGGTTTATTCCTGTTTCCAGGAGTTTTCCCAAAAGTTTCCTCCTGGTTTCTCTTTTACCTCTCCTCTCCCCAGTGTCACAATGCAGAGGAATGGAAGGTCCTTTCCCCATGGATTGCAACATTTGGTCACCCTTCCTGATGTAACAGGTTACATTTCCCCTGACTGTTTATAAGTTATTCTCACCTACTGTTGGATGTGAAGAAAATGAGTATGTCTTGGAGGCTGGTTGTACTTATGGGAAGTGTAGGTGATAGGGCTGGGGGCATATCCCTTGCGCCTCTGTACCCATGGGGCCCATCCTTGCTGGCATGTGTGTATCCCCATAGCTCTCTCTGCCTGGCCCTGCTGGTTGCTGACAGTGTGCATGCTTGTTTCATTGGGGCAGTTATATACACAGAGCTCTGTATTTCAGGTGTGAATTTCTATACAGAGATGAATGTTTGGATGAGAAAATGTGCCTTAAAGCAACCAGGCTGGTGGAGGTTTGGGGAATTGGTGATGTATAAGCCCTATAAGTGGCTAAGGAACAAATAGAAGGAAATTAACAGAAGGAATTAAGCAGAAGGGTGCTACTGGGTCTGGAATACTTGGCTTTCTTGGTTCTTGTGCATGCTTCTGTAATGTAGAAAGGGCTAGAGGGTTGAGGGAAGAAGGGTTTCTTTTTGTGGCTCTACTGCAGACTGCCCCATTCGGCTGCTGCAGCTTTAGATTTTCTCATATTCTTCCAGAAGACTTTGAGTTTTGTTCCTAGTTGAGAATGGGGTACCTGAAGCCGTCGCCACACTGATTCTGGTTTAGTGCAAAAACAGCCAAGCTCCCTTCCACCTCCTGTCCCCTGGTACTGATCCTAGCAGTAAGTAGGCTAGGCCAGAATTTGGATGCCTTAGGGCCCATGTATGTCAGAAACCCTAGGCCTTTGCCCCAGGCCGTGGAAGACCAATATTAGGAGCCATGGATTTAAGCTCACTTTAGGGTTGTTGGGGTGGGGCCTGTATTTCAAGATAGATGTTGATGTGCCAGGCGTTTTAAGTTGGGTCTCCTTCTCCTCAGGAGAAGCAACAGGGTTTACCCAGGGTGACCTGGTGTTCGCCTCTAGCATTCTGCATAGGGCCTGACGACCTGGCCTTCCTTCCACCAGAACAGCCCACTGAGCATCTCTGAAGCAGGAGCGGAGCTGTGGGGACTTCTGGTCTGAGAATGGGATTGGGGAGGAAGGCTTCCAGTCACTGGGAACATGGAATGGCATACCTGACTCCACAGTCAGCCAGACTCTTATTTCTCAAGTTACAGGGCTCCTGTTAAGGACAGTGGCTTAGAATCAGCTCCTGTCCCCTGCTGTGCATGTACACGATGTCTCTAGACCAGGGTGTCCCCATGTAAGGGAACAGGCCGGAGGGCAGGAGGAGGCAGAGGAGGGATTTCTGGCTATGTTAACTCCTGGTAAAAATATTCACAGTTCAAACAACAGCCAATCTGTCCTGGTTGTAAACTCCTAAAAATGTACACCACCACGCCTCTAATCATCCCCTACCAGGCGTTTGCCCCAGTTTTCTTTAAAATGTTTCCTCTTTCCCTCCTATCTTTCTTTCTAATTTTTGTTTTGTTTTCAACTTTTACACACAAATCACATTCCCTGAAAGCACAGAGTGAAAAAGCTTCTTTCCCCCTACACGTGCTGCTAAGAAAATAGTCTTATACACAGAGTTTCAATGGGAAAAGAAAAGGATAGGAAGGGAGGGACAGAGGAGAGGCTGAGAGGCAGGAAGGGTGGTGGCAAGAGCGCCAGCACGGCAGGGCCTGCATTTATAACTGGCATCACTGAAGGATTGCTTCCCCCCTACCCTGGTTGGCTAGAGTTGGAGCTCTTAATTTGAGAAATGGATTGGGTCAGAAGTGAGGTTCACAGAACATGTGGGCACTAGGGACTCGGCTGATTTTCCCATCTTTTCGGCACATAAGCCTCTGCTTCGGTATTAACATGTTCATGGGCAGAGTGACAGGCCAGGAAGTGGAAATCCCAGGGCTGACTGAACTGTGTGCGCATTTTAAATGGATGATGGTAGTGGAAGAAGCCCTAAAGGAGAAAGTCTGCAAGGAGAATACCTTGAGAGGGGATCCCCCCACCCCCCCCCCCGCCATTCCCGCCCAAGCCTGGGTAAGGGCGGTAGCAGAAACTGGAGGACTGGGAGCTTTTGCAGGCTTTTCTTTGCTGAAATAAAACACCTGCTTTTCTACCTTGTGCCACTTTAGCTGGGCTTTGGGGTCACCACCTGATGCTGGCAGAAACAATGAGGTTAGAGGTGGGGAACCCTCTTCTAGCTCATTCCTTTCATTGGTTTCCCTTGGTGATAGCACTCTGTCAGAGATTCGCCTTGTGCTTCGGTCATTGCCTTGCCCACCCACCCCCTGAGCTGTCCTCAGCTCCAGAGCCCAGGGCCCTCCCAGACAGCCTCTGACTCTTTGGGTGGTGCCCCCAGCAGCTGCTGCTTACTGGTGGGAGGAAGGGCAAGGGCAGAGGAGGAGGGAAGAACACAGGTGCGGAAACAAGGGTCCCTGCAAAGGCAAGGATTTCAAGTGACCAGGAATGTAAAGGGGCCACTGGGCATGGAAATAGAAGTTGGGGTTTGTGAAAGAAGTGAATGGGAGGAAATAGTGGTTAGCTGCAGGAAAGGGAAGTATACCCAAGATTCAGAAACCACACAGTCCTGTCCACCCCTTTCTTCCTGGGACCGCCAAGATATGTTTGACAACACTGACTTTTCTAACTAGCGGCTGGGAACAAAGGGGTGTTAGCAGTCCTGATACTCAACTCAGGGGGCAAAGGTGGGTCCCTCCCCAGTCTCCAGGCTCTTCTCCCCATGGCCAGCCCCGGCTTTGGAAGCTGGGTACAGCCAGGGGCAGGCTGCATGGCTTTCTGTCCCAAGGATCACCATACCCATGCAAGGACTTAAAGCCATTTGCTCTTTCCAAGACTAGCGGTTTAAAGAAACCCTTAACGTGAGGGGAAAGAGACACAAACAGGAAAACAAACAAACACACACTTGTTTGATGGGAGAGTTTGCAGTTTTTTTTCTGTATTTTCCAAGTTTATGTTTTACTTTAGTTCATTCCTCTGTCTCCGTCTCTCTCCCGTGCACATGTGCGTGCGTGCTCGCTCTCTCTTTTTTTTTTTTGGTTGTGTGTGTGTTTCAGTTTTTTTAAAAGAACTTTGGATTTGCCGTTGGTGGGCAGTGCCGGTCCCAGAGGCTGGACCCCCACATGGCAGGGCTGGGACAAGGGGTGGGCCCACGGCTGCTGAGAGGATCTCTGTGTTTAAAGCCTTTGAGAATAAGTTACTGCAGTTCCCAGGGTGCAGGGTGGGGGTTGGCAGAGAGGTTCCTGGCGGCGGCTTCCCCTAGAGTCCAGGCCGCAGGGGCTCCTGGTCAGGCGAGGAGAGGGTTAGGAGGGAGGTGTGGGGAGAGTGAACTGAGCACTTCTCCCCCTGCCAACCTCCAGTTTGGTTAGAGTTTTGTGGGCTCCCTGCCCATCCCAGGCTCCAACCTTGGGAGCCAACTGGGTATTTGGAAAGTTTGTGAGCTGTGTGGTGCTCTAGACAAGGGGGTAGGGAGAGGGAAGGGGGAGTAGCAAAGTTTGTTTTCCTTCCCCCTTCTTTGTCTTGGGTTTTCTTTTAACTTTCTTCTTTTCTTTTCTTTTCTTTTTTTTTTTTTGGTGTTTTCTCAGTCAGTGAACAGCATGGGCTGACATATGTGTGTTTGCGGGGGTTGACTGTGTTGGGGGGTGAATCCAGTGGGAATAAGGTAGTGGAAGATGGATTCAAGGGTAGACCTCGTGTGTGGTGGGCAGGGCAGAGATGAGCGGACCGTCAGGATGATGAGATGGGTGTGCGTCTGTGAAGACGTGGGGCAAGGAGCCACAGAGGAGGAGCAGCGTGTCTGGGGGCCAGGCGGGGGCGGGGGGGGGGCAGGGGAGCGGAGGCAGGGCTCTGCCAGAGGCGGGGCGTGTGAAGCCCACTGAGGGTGGGAACTGAAAGAGTCCCGTGAGGTGGGCGGGGCCGAGGGTCGGGGTGAGGGATGTGAGCTCCCACCAAACACCCCTTGGGGTAAGGGAGGGGGCCCTGAGGCCCTCCCCTCTCCCCCCATCTTGGTTCATCTGTTTATAAAGCTAGAAGTGTAGAGGTAGTAGTAGTTTTTGGGTTGGAGTCCGTGTGAGGTAATCTTGCTTCCTCTTTGGCAAAAGCCACAGCAGCCGTGGCGGCTGTGGCGGCGTTGGTGATGGTGATGGGTGGGCCCCCTGGGGGCGGGGCCGCCTTGCGCCGGTGGGCCGAGGAGCGCAGGTGGGAGGCCAGGGCTTCGTGCCCACTCAGCAGCACCTCACATGCCAAGCAGTGGTAGGTGCAGATGGGCACCCGCAGCGGGGGGGGCACAGAAGCCCCAGGGCCCCGCCCAAAGAAGCAGAAGGATCTCTGGTGAGCCGTGGCTGGGGCCTCCCCATCAAATGCCGTCTGGCACTGGCGGCACAGGTAGCGGTGGGTCACGTCCACGGTGGAGATGCCGGTACTGCCCGACAGCAGCTCATCGGCCTCCCCGGCCTCCCCCTCCCCTGGAGCAGCCAGTTCGGGAGGCTTTGGAGGCGCTGTGGCTGTGGGCTCAGGGGGCTGGGGTGGTGCCTGGAGGAGGGCGTTGGGGAGCAGTCCGATGAGGGTCTGAGGTATCATGGGGTTCATGGGAAATAGCCCCTTCTTCATGCCATAGAGCTGTTGGAAGTAGGCCCCCTGCAACTGGGGGCCAAAGACAGCTGGTGGTGTCGCCCCCCCTGCAGGGGGCAATGGGAAGGGCAGGAATTGGCCCCCCAAGAGGGCTGGGACAGTAGCCTTCAGTGCTTTGAGGTTCTTGAGGGCGTCAGTGGAGGAGTTGGTGGGGGCTGCAACTGGCTTTCGCTCACCAGAGACCTTGTCCCCAGAGGGCTCAGGAGGGGGGCCTGGGGCAGGGTCAGTGGTGCCAGCTGTGGAGGTGTTGGTTTGCTCAGGCACAGGTCTCTGAGGTAAGGGGCAGCCTGGGCCAGCAGTCTGGACCACTGCGGTAGCAGGCAGGACTGAAGTGGCGAGGCCGAGGAGGCCAGAGGAGGCTGCAGGGCCTAGGAAGATGAAAGGAGTGATGAAGGATTAGCCACCTCCTGGCCTGTCATCCTTCCTGCTGTAGGCCACCTCCAGCCACACCCTCGCCCACTGCCACCACCTAGCTGCCACGTGCCCTCCCCTCCCTTCTCCCCCCCCCCCCCCCCCGCAAGAGCCTGAAACTGAGGAAAGCCACCGGAGGCTGGAGGTGGGGAGAGTCAAGGAGGAAAAAGAGGGGCATGTCATTAGAGAGAGATGGCTCTCTGAAGTTCAACCCCTCCCAACTGCCCACTCACCTGAACTGAAAGGAGCTAAGCTGCCCAGTGGGGGCTGGGCCAGAGCTGGGCCAGACAAGAGGACCGGGGCCAGGCGAGGCAAGGCCGGGGCAGCCCCGAGGGGCAGAGAGGCAGGTGTGGTGGCAGGTGTGGCCTTGGGAGCCGGGGGTGCCTCGGGTGCTGGGGCCAAGTCGTAGCACTTGCTTTCACTCTTCAGCTGGGCTCGGACTGCCTCTTTGAGTTTGGCCAGGTGCTGGCGTGAAAAGAGATGGCCTCGGCAGGAGACATAGAAATCATACTTGACGTCGCAGTAGGGACAGTCAGTGCGCTGGGCTCCCAAGGGGCCCTCACTGCTGCCCCCAGCCCCGCCAACCGCTGCCCCCTGCAGCTTGGCCTTCTTTTCCTTGGCACGAGCATTCTGGAACCAGACCTGGATGACTCTCTTGGGCAGCCCAATCTCCTCCCCCAGCACCTCACACTCCTGCATGGTTGGGGTACGGTAGGCTTCGTAGCAGGCTTTCATGATCTTCAACTGCAGGCTGCTCATCTGGGTCCTGTAGCGCCGCTGCCCCATCCCATCTGGAACCCCAGCCCCACTTCCTGTTCCTCCACTGCTTCCTCCAGCCCCAGGGGACTCTGGTTCGGCCAGACTGGAAGCAGACGAATCGCTGAGATCCCCGGCAGATGGACTGCAAGCCTCGCTCTCTGGAGAAGCTTTAGCCGGCTCCTCTGCACCCTCTTCCTCACTGGGTGGAGGGGGAGGTGGGAGAGGTAGCGGTGGCTCTGGTGTTGGGGTGGTGGCCTCTTTCCCAGGTGGTAGAAAAGGGAGGGGCCCGGCGGCAGGGGTAACCGGGGGGTAGGGAAAAGCAGGTGCTTCCCGCTTTGAGGCCTCCCTCCCAGTCCCATCATCTACCTTGCCCAACAAGAGGTTGAACTTGGGGAAGGCTGCAGGGGCAGACGTGATGGGGGGCTTGGATGTTGGGTTGGGCACCGCCCCAGGGGTGCTTCGAAATTGGCCTTTCCTCTCCCGGGCCCTGGTGTTCTGGAACCAGACCTGCACCACTCGCTTCTTGAGCCCCACCTCCTCAGAGATGCAGTCGAGCATCTTGCGCGTCGGGTTGGAGTCTTGCATGTACCAGCGGTACAGGATCTCCAGCTGCTCCGGCAGGATGGTGGTGCGCAGGCGCTTGTCCCGGGGGGGCTCGCCCTCCCCTGCCCCCCCTGCTTCACTGCCTGTCGGGGACAGGCTGCCCTCCTCGTGCTTCCGTTTGAGGGGAGGCCCTGGCGCCGGTGGAGTGCCTGCCACCAAGGGGCTTCGCTCCCCAAACACCAGCAAGGGCAGATCCAGGAGGTGCGGGGCCGCACTGGGCTGCACTGATGGCAGAAAGTGTAGCCGCCGGTGACTGGTCAGGAGGTCTTGGTTGGGGAAAGACATGGTGCACTGGTCACAAGTGTGGACCGGGGAAGGTGAGGGAGGGGCCCTCCCTTCAGGTTCTTTGCCTCCTGGCTTTGTTGCCTCTGCTTGGCTCAGCTCTTCCCTGTCCAGGGGCTCTGGTGAGGGACCCTCAGGCCCTGCGGGTGGTTCCAGGCTCTGTTCCTCCTCTGCATCCTCCTCCTCTACCTCTTCCTCCTCTTCCCCTCGCTCTGCCTCTTCCTCCTCCTCTTCAGGGGGCTGGTCGTCATAGCATTTCTTGAGGTGCCGCACCAACTCGAAAACACAGGAGAAGGTGGCATGGCAGCGCCTGCAGCCAGAGGCTCCCCCGTTGCCTCCTCCGGTCGGCACAGGCCCACCCTCGATGGCATTTTTGCGTGCTTTCTGGCGGGCATTCTGGAACCACACGACCACCACACGGCTAGCCAGGCCCAGGAGACTTGCGAGCCGCTCCACCTCTCCATCCTTGGGGTAGGCACTGGTCTCAAAGAAAGACTGCAGGGCTTGGGTCTGGAACTCTGTGAACTTAGTTCTGGAGAACCTGCGGCCTGCAGGCACTAGGGGAGGCAGATTCCCTCTGGAGCCTTCTTCCTCCTCTGGGGGCCAGCGTCCTGCCCGGCTACACTCCTCAGAGGGACGGGTCCCCCCTGCCTCAGGCTCTGGGACCAGGAATGGAAGGCCCAGTTGGGGAGCTGGTGAATCCAGGGACCCATCAGGAGGTTTGGGGGGCTCTGCAGGGGGTGGGTATAGGCTGTCGTAGCTCTTTCGAAACTGAGCAGCATAACGGCTCAGGGCCTCAAAGGGCAGAAATCGGCGGTGGACGTGCTCCTCGTGTGTCTTGAGGATAAGCATATTGGAGAAGAGTTTCCCACAGGCCCCACAGGCCAACTTGTCCCCACCCCCCAGGGCCTCTGGTGGGGGGGGGGTCGGGGGAGGGGGCACAGCCTGCTTTCCTTCGTTGTACTGGATCACCAGCTCAAAGCCAAAGTTTTCTAGAAGGGCTTTGGCTGCAGTGCGGGCTGCTTCGTTGGGCGTTGAGGTGGGGGGTGAGGCGGGCCCTGCCTCATTCCCCTCTTCTGCCATG